CTATTCTAAATAATTGTGGCTCATTTATAGTGGCTTGAGCTATTCCACTTTTCACTCATTCATCTGTTGAATGTAGGAGTGTCAATGGACCGGTTTTGGGTTGGACTCCGTCCAAATCAAAATTCATTTGAATGGATTGGACCTGGTCTGTCCATAAGGAATTTATATTGGATTGAACCAATATCTGGTCCATTGATATAAAATAAGAACATAGGTATCAATAAACCAGGTTTGAATTGAAACCAATCTAAATTAATAAGAATTTGAACAGACTAAACAGTCTCTGGACCGATTCAAAATGGTCCAAAATATTCATTAGACTGGATTGGATCAGGTTCATTTGTAATGGACTCACATTGGACATGGCCCTCTTTGAATTTGTTAATTTGGTCTCAAGGATGCAAATGGATTTCCTTTGTTACATTTGAGGGAGATGCTTTACAAAGTAATTGACTCTTTGTTGGAGAAGCTTTCTTCACCTCCTTGACGGATTTGTAATATCCTTGACGATTGCAGAGGACTACTTTCCAAAATCTCCCACTACTGGGTGGTTTTGGTCAGACGTGGTTGTAATACTGCGGCCCATAAGGTGGCATGTCACACTCCCTTGGTTCCTAGGCCTATCACTTGGTCTTTACCACCAGACTTCCTTTGTAATGTTATTTCCTCTGGTGTATTGGACCATTGAGTTGAATTAATTATTTTTTCACATAGGAATCGGAATTGGAATAAGGGTCTATTTGATTTACAGTTGGAATTGGATTTAAAATTAGAATCAGAATTGAAATGTCCATAGTTGGAATCGAAATCAAAATCCCTTCAAGTTAGAATCAGAATGGTCTATTACTATAGTGTTGTTGGTTTAGACAGAAATCAGAATCAGAATTAGAATCAGCTAGAATGAAATTTCATTTACAAGCGAAGGGGATCATTCCTTCAAACGGGGAACTGCTATTCCAACAAAAATGAGAATGGAATTCTGATTCTGCATAACCAAACAGTTGGATATAATTAAAATAATCCATTCTGGTTCTGATTTCAAACCCTTTTCTCATTAACCAAACAGGCCCTTAGTACTGGTGTGCTCGAGACACTGAGAAGGTAGACATCTGTTGGTATAAGTTAATTTCAACCGATCACCATCTTACTACTAATATTGCACATCTAATACCGTATTTAAACTTGATAAATGTTTCAAATTCCTTGTATAATACAATGCGTTTTGTCCATTCTCGCCGGGTGTCACCCAGACCAACCTCGATTTGATTCCAGGTTGGGGCTGGTGCGTGTCTCATCTCATTTGATCATCTATCAGGATCTGATGCATTTATCCTCCACTTCCCTTTGAATTTTTGATAAGTATTCATATTCCTCGGATTAATTCCTTTTCTTTTATTCAGATAATATGCAAGAGAACCGGTTCGTTAAGGTCAAAGGAGGTTTCATCAGCTCACACAGACTGTTCGGCTGACGTGGGATGCTTCTACTGGTAACACAGCCTGCTTAGTCCAGATCCATATATAAATATCCATCTATTTTAGAAAGCATATGTAATGGGATGTATATGCCCCGTTTGCTTTTTGGTGAGTTATCTGGATAAACGCATTTAGTCGAATAAATTATTATTATTTTTTTTATTTTTCAGGTAAATAAAACAATAACCGTTTTAGTTATAAAATATTTATTATTAAAAAGAACATTTTTATTTCATTCAAGTGTTGGCAATTTTTCCTTAGGTAGGAAAATTATTTATCCACCTGGGAGATGGGCATCACTTACCCGGATAAGTGGTACCTAGGAAAATAAATGTTTCCCTGGCCCCCACATAAATCTGGAAAAAAAGAACATGAGTTTTTTGGTCAATGGGAATTTTTCCCCTCTCAAAATCCAAAAAAAAAATGCCCCCCTATTCTCAAAAGCTTTAAACCCCCATCCCGGAAAAATAGGTTTCTTGGTCAATGGGTTTTGGACTTATACTGCTTTGGGCTCAGATTTTAGGTAGGATCCATTCAAATTTTGACAAAAGCTAAGCGCGAGTGAAGACTTTGATTTTGTGTACACAATTGGAGTGAATACTTACATCCTTGGTATCTCCTCTACAACCAGCTAGACACTTTACAAGCAAGTTTACTGGAGCCTTCTTTTCCAAGTTACACACTTATAGCTTTGGCCTTTGGGAGACCAGCCTGCATGACATCATTGACATTATCTGGTTTGTATTATGATGGGCTTAATGGTTGCACTCTATTTCTGTTTGGGCTTTAAGCGTTAGGTCCCGCAATAAAGCAAAGAGAAATCGGTAGTAATCAAGTCTGGGTGTGGAGAGTGGAATCATCCATCATGCCATCTGATTTCCGCTTCCCCCTTTTTTAAGCAAACAGCATTAAATTAAATTAAAACAACCCATAGTAATAAATTCCCCCTTCAAAAATCAAACAAGGGCTCAACATGGGCCGTTATTGGACCGTTCTATGCTATTCCAAGGTCTCTTTGTTAAATAAAATGGGCCTTAATTCCGTTCACCCAAAATATATAGTTCAAATGGGCCTGGGCCTGACCAAGCAACTCAACTCTTGAATCACATAGGATAGGAATAGATTTATAAGCTAGAGCTAGACATCTTTTAGTAGGAATGTTAATGGATAATGAATGGGGGGCACATCCCGACTCCCGAGGATATATAGCTCAATAATGAATTAAACATCTCTGATCTTTTTTTGAACAACTTTCTTTCGTTTCGTCTCTTAAAAGTTTGATTCAATGACATTTCCTTTTCAAGCCCACTTTTACTTTTTGCTTGGTATTGTTTGTCTTGATTTATCAACTCAAAATTATTGCGAGAGACATTCTTGTCTGTGCAGAGCCGGCCGTATAAAAGGTTCCATTGGCGACAATTTTATGATCAGAACCCAGAAGAGTGAGGACTGAGGACAACTCAGATCCACTTGGAAGATGAATAGGATAACCTTCCTGAACTCTACCGCAAAATTACCATATGGTTATGGTTTACGAAATCTCAAAATCAAATTGGTGGTTCCCTATTTCCTATTGTCTCATGCCTTGTACTTCTCTATTATTTATTATATGTTCCTTAATTTAACATCAAGCGGGGATAGCTCAGTTGGGAGAGCGTCAGACTGAAGATCTAAGGTCGCGTGTTCGATCCATGCTCACCGCATGAATCAACTCTTTACCATAAGAAATAATTTTCAACCTCAAAATAATATTAAAACAATACAAATAAAAATTAAAATAATTTTTAAAAATTACTAATTAATACAAATAATTTATAATTAATAATTAAGAGAGACATTATTATTATTCACCGAAGTATCGAACCACCACTGTTGCTTGTTGCAGTGGCGATGGTGGTGGTGGGAAGACAGGGGAGGGAGAGAGGGAGAGAGAAGACAACGACGATGGCGATGGTGGGAAGACAGGGGAGAGAGAGAGAGAGAGACTACAACAATCTTGCTGAATCTAGGGTTCTGAATCTCTGATTCAGAAAGTTTGTTTTGATTTTCCTTTAGAAAGGAAAGATTGGTTCTGTCGATGAATGGTGACACCATTGATGGGCCTTCAACATAAAGATGGAGGTCTATCTTTAATGGCTGGTCCCATGAATCTGGTGGATCCTTCTTCACCCAAGGCTTGCTTGAAGAATTCTGCTCTAAAATCTCCTTTTCTTATCTTCCTCTTGTTCAACAAGGCTATCCGGTTCGAGTTGGATGGGCTACATCGAGTTGCATTGGCTTTTGTGACTGACTAGACCGGCAATATCCAAAGGTTGTTCGAGCGGTATCATTTTCTTCGGGCAATCTATAAGACGGGGGGAGAGAGAGAGAGCTGCAGCTACAAGTTGCAGTGGCAGTGGCGGGAATACAGGGCGAAGAGAGAGAGAGAGAGAGCCGTCGTTGCAAGTTGCAGCGGTGGTGGTAGGAAGACAAGGTGAAGAGAGAGAGAGAGAGCGAGAGAGAAGATAGGGGGAGAGAGAGAGAGCCGTCGTTGCAAGTTGCAGCGGTGGTGGCGGGAAGACAAGGTGAAGAGAGAGAGAGAGAGCGAGAGAGAAGACAGGGNGAAGAGAGAGAGAGAGAGCGAGAGAGAAGACAGGGGGAGAGAGAGAGAGCCGTCGTTGCAAGTTGTAGCGGCGATGGCGAGAAGACAGGGTGAAGAGAGAGAGAGAGAGAGAGAGAGAGAGAGAGAGAGAGAGAGAGGTCGAATGTTAAGGTTTTCTGGGTTTGGGGGTATTAGGGGTAACTCGGGTCATTTATGAAAAATTGTAAAGATATTTTAGACATTGGGTCGGCTCTGAAACGCGTTTGAGTGCATTAAGAACCTACCCAAGGTCTATGATTTTCATATCTGAAAATCAATTTTAAACCCAATTTAAGAAGTATAACCAAATAAGGGGTGAAGTATGAAAAGTAGCATTTTCAGATCCATACCTCTAAAAAGTGCAATCAAATGGCACCTAAGGTGGGTTTGATTTGGTATTGGTAATATAAAAGCCAAATACAAGATAATGAATGATCCTACCGTCCTACTACTCATTAACATTGTTCCTAAGGTATAATAGAATTAGGCCCTAACGTTTGCTCTAAACTCTAACATTTGAAAGTGTAATATTTACATTAAGAGGTATATTGGTATCGATGAACTTTTCTTTCCTTTGAACTTTGAATGCGAAAAATGTTGCTCTGAATTCTGAAAATTATCAAATATCCATTTTAACCCATATATGAGAGTTTTTATTTCTTTTTAAGGGCATCATTGAAAAACAAAAAATTGTAATGAATACACTTTAAGAAATAAGATATTAGAGGAAATGAATAACCACTTTTCTCTTAGAACTAAAATATTCCTCTTAAGAGATAAAGAGTTTGAAGATGAACAGGCCCTTAAGTCGATCTCTCTTTCTAAACTTGAAATTGATCGCATGGTGATTCATAGAAATTGGTCCACGAATTTCTTCCGCCGATGTATTATTTGAAACAAAAATGGAATAAGGCGAAAAGTGAATCTTGTATTTAGGGATGGAGAAGATTTGGTAGCTGGCCTTTGTTGCAATTAAAATTTGGAATGGTTCCCAACAACAAACACATCGTCATCTATGCATATTTGAAGAAGATAAGATCCCCAGCATTGTCCCTCTCCAATACAGAAAAGAATCGCAAACCACTAAAAGAAATCGAACTCAAGATAATTACCAGAGCTCTTCTCATTGACGGTGGCAGCCTTCTCACTTGTCGATGCTGTAGGGGCTGAAATTCGCTCTATCTCTACCGGCTTTGGAATCTCGGGTGGGCTGGCACAACGGATCAAAGCCCAGTTCACACCTTCGAAGAAGGGATGCTGCTTTATCTCTGTGGCACCCCGCTTGTAAGCCAGCCTGTGTTGTGGCTCCTTCACGAGGAGACCCCTTATCAGATCCCTTGCTTGGAAACTAACAACTGGTGATTCTGGGAATCGCAATGGCTGCCCTACAACATTGAACAGTGTTGCCCGATTCCCCGACCCTTTGAATGGCGTCTTCCCGAACAACAGCTCATATAGAAAGATCCCAAATGTCCACCAGTCTACAGCACTGCCATGTCCTTCACCTTTGATGATCTCAGGTGCCAAGTACTCGTGTGTTCCAACAAACGACATTGATCGTGCCCCTGTTGGCTCTGCAATGAGCTCTGGCAATGGGCTCACCTGGTTTCCAATCTCATTTTTGGGTTTCCTCTCCTTCTTCGATTTGCTAGAGAAGAGGCGCGGGGAAAAGCATGTTGTGGGGACTACACAAGATGGCTGAATGCAGGAAGGTTCAATGCAAGCTGGCTGCACACAGTACATGGGGTTCTTCCGAAAGGGTTCGGACTCGAGAGAGGAGGACCTGACAAGAGTTGGGCTGACGGCACAACGGAGAGAGAGATCGAAATCTGAGAGCATTATGTGACCATCTTCCCTCACGAGAACATTTTCTGGCTTCAGGTCACGATACACTATCCCCAGCATGTGGAGGTACTCCAGAGCCAAAAGAACCTCTGCTACATAAAACCTGCATGTCGGAACCAGTTACACCAGTCACACGACAATGAAACAGGTAAACAAGCATATATGCACTATCTTTTTCATGCTTAGGTTTTGGGTTGTAAAGGATGATGGTTCCTATTATACCGGTGTTGTCAGATCGGATGTAAAAACCACCTTGATCATTGGGTCATATGGGTGGAACAGTTCAGGCATTCAGTTAGATCATTCAACTCAAACAAACAAACAAACAAATAAAAATAGTCGATAAATGTAAAGCAATAAATACTAAATCTTTTAATGTGTTAAAACATGCATTTGAGACATGTTTGACCAAGTCAACATTTCTAGGAACCACGCAACCCAAAAAACTCTTTTTGGTTGGTGGTTTCTGACCCAAGCTTGACAACACTGGTTCCTACTTTATTTTCTTCTCCAATTGATTTCAGACACTTTTTTATCTTGTGGTATATGAAATGGAAAATTTCTGGCGTATTTACTTCAACTCAGACTTTAGGTATTCTCTAATTTCAAATGAATATTTGATGTTCTTGCAGAATGTTTCTGGCGTCCCAGGGAGCAGAAAATAGTTGCCTCAGTTTCTGGAAACACTGAACATTCTAACACCACCTAGGAAACAAGTTCTATTTCTCTAAAATAGATGTTAAAACTCTCTGTTGAATTCATTCCAGCTTACTCTTCTTAATGTGGTTTGCATGAGTACCTGATTTTGATAGTATGATGTCACTATCATAAGGCCATTAGATCCGGTGACACCCTAATTCTAGCTCAAGAAGAGAGATGTGGCTACCCTAGTAATCCTTCTACATTTCCCTTCATTTATCTACTTCTTTTAAAAACTAAATATATAATTTCTTATGTTATTTTGGCACTCGAGCCAATAATTTAAAACACTTCCATATTTTATATTGATCATTTTTTTTTGTCTCAAGTCCTTTGCTTCCCCACTTTCACTTGGAATGTTACATGGTTTTAGCCCTGTTCAAGAGTGGAACCCTGGACGTAGTAATCCCCCATCTAATAGTGGTTCTGCCTATTCCCCCCCTTGCCAGTGAGTCCGCAATGCCATTGGCCAATCTAGGGACACAAATAAGCCATTCAATTTGGAGGCCAATGCCTTGCTTTTCTAATTTGGTGAACTGAAATATTTGGGCCAGAAACCATAGATGCCATCAACCCAATAACCACCACAGTCCCCTTCCTACAACAAGATCAGACCATCCTGATGCAAAAGCAAGTTTGAGAGACCTTGCAGAAGAGAGTAATTCAGCATGCAAAGAATTTCCCATGCCCACTGGCCAAGAATAGTACTGGAGAACCTATTCAAAACCTTAGGTACTAAAATGAATATTGAGCAAATTGGTTGAGAACTATTGATGTTTCTAAGAAGACATTTCAAATTTCAAGTGTTGTGCAGAAAATCCAGCATGTAGGTGTTTACATCTGAGCTATCTTACATCATATTTATTCATTTATGCTCCAAAACCCAGCCCTCAGTAATCTAACATGTTGTGTTTCAAAAACAACTATCCTGTCTCACATTAGTCTGTCCTCATAAAAACCAGCTAAAGAACAAGAAATTGAGGGAGAGATCAAATTTTAACGACTCATAGGAATGGAGACTAACAAGGTTGGAAGTCAGAAGGTTATCAATCAAAGGAAAAAAAATGTCAGAACTCAGAAGGTCTCAGTTTTAAGTCCTGCCATGCAGTAATGGGCTCTGGTTTCACATCAAGTACTTAAGATTTAAGAAGGCAAACCAAAAACTCAAGGTTCCCTCTATAGAGAAGTGTAAAGCAGTACCAGAAATTAATTATAAACTGTGTCCTCAATCAAAAAGCCGGATAAGATCCCATTAAAGTTCCAAGTCTTTCCACATGCCAAGAACAATTCCATTCACCCAAGTGGAAGGCAGAAACCTCTACATTGGCATGGACCAACTCAAAAGCATCATCTTACTCTGTCATGTTTCAGTAATTGGTTCAAAGTTCAAACACCCCAATTATCATGGAACTACCTAAAGCACCTATATGCCAGGAAATTACGCTTTGACCGCTGAGGCATGCATTCAGATTTTACAAGCCCAATAGAACAAACATCATTCAAAGTCCTTACATGAAGTTTCTAAACAAATAAATAGATAAACTTAGGATATCCTTTTAGTGTGAAGTTCTTGAAAGGGAAATAGGCAATCTATAAATTATCAAATTGGATCAAATGTTAAGAAGGAAATATAAACTACAACTGTCACATTTTAAGGAATATTCCAAAGACCACATGCAGTAGTCTTGAGTATTTGTCCATATATATGTCTACTTTACAAACTGTGTTTGTTCCTCCCAACAAAAATAAACCTCCAGACCTTGTGGATTCATAAGAGAACTCATATGAATTATAAACTTCATTAGTCATTACATATCAAAGGGAAAGCCAAGAACACAAGGAAAGAAAACCAACATAGTGATTTTGTTGGTGTTTACAAGAAAGCTTTTGCAGCATCTTTAACAGAACCACAAATGAACGTTCTTTCCAGCCTATATTTCTGAAGTTAGCTCTTTGAAGTGGAAATTGATTCACTATGGTAAACTCAAAATCATGACCAATGCTAAAATGAGGAAAAATGGGAAAATTAAAAAGAAAAGAGAAAACGGAAAACAATAAAATAAAATGAAAAAGGTGCAAGCTTAAATTACTCTGAGCTCATGTTTGAACAAGTTTTGGTAATAAAAACTCAGGAAAAAAAAAAAGATATCAGGTAGCCAGACTTAAAGGCCAAAAACTAAAATTGGAATGAGAAAAAGGTTGCTGACAAGCACATATTACAGAGAAGAATAAGGTCTTGGACATGTAGAAACGATGAAAGGAAAACAATTTACTTAAATCTACTAATATTACCGTAACTCCAACAATTTGTTGTTGTTCTTGTTATTGGTGGTTCTCTCAAGAATTTGCATTCTTAAAACTTCCATCTCTCAGGAAATTTCTTCAGGTTCCTGCCTAACACACATAAGAAAAATACTGCTTTTAATTTGAATATACATTTATTTATTTAGTTATTTTCTTTCCTTCAGGGAAAAGGTAAAAATGAGGCTAGCATATTAAGAACAAATTTGTGCAGTAGGCATCACAAAAGAAAGATGGATCTGATAATGGTTTAACTATCAAACACATAGCTGACATGAACCAGAACATCACTACATCAAAGAGATGCTATATGCTATATAACTGTTATGCTTTAATTTAAATAGGATCAAATGAATATGGGAAGGATTTCATACTTCACTGCTTGTTCAGAAAAATGTTTCCCTGGCTGTCTCTGCCGAAGGGTGTGCAAATCTCCTCCAGGGCAGAACTCCATTACCAAACATGAGAACTTGTCAGTCTCAAAGTGGGTATATAGTGTTGGAAGGAACGGATGGTCCAAACATTGCAGTATCTCTCTTTCTGTCTGAGCCCGAAGCAGCTTCTTTCGGCTTGCTAGAGAACCCTTGTCCATAACCTTCATTGCAAAATAACACTTGGTCCCAGTCAACTCTGACAGATAGACACTCCCAATATCCCCACACCCCAACCTCTTGAGAAGTCGGAAATGGCTCAAACCCAAAACCCCATCTCTTGCACGGACAGCCTGTATGGCTTCCCATCTTGAATCATTTGCTTTATGAGGCTTGCTGATACTGCTAGTTATGCTGCTACAGGAACTCTCATCACTCACATCACTGCTTGTACTTCCTCTACACATACTGCTCTTGCCACTCTCAACAAAATCAACACGATCACTAATCTTGGCACTTCCACTGGTCTTGGTGAGACTGCTAGTCCCATCACTAACTTTTGCTGAAGCTGAGCTATCCTTCACACTTCCATGCTCAGATTTTTTCTTTTCTTGGTCTTCGATGTCTTCCAGTGAGTCCCTAATGTCATTAACTGCAGGATCTACCTTATTTGAAGGTTCTTTAGGAACTCCTAAGGAACAATTTGAATCATTTTTATTGAGCAACAAGTCACCTGACCCCTTTTGATGAGGATCTGGTGATCTTTGATCTTCTGAAGCTTCTAAATTAGCCTGCTTGGATGATGAAAGTTGTACAGACCTTGGCAGCTTTTGGGGGGTAAGAAGCTCTGATTTGCTTGTCTTTGAAATCTGCAAAGGTGAAGGTCTTCGAGAATTTGCTTCTGTTTGATTAGTAGCCCCTTTCAGCTGTTCTGAGGATCCTCTGGAACTAGCTTTTGAGGCCATTGGAAGAAATCTAAGCTCCTTAAAAAGAACAAATTAAGCAAACCCATTACTTTATCCCAAGCTTCAACCTCATGACGGTTCCCATTAATTGACCTAAATATTTCCTCTCCAACTTCATAAAGAGCAGCTTCAGAAAAGGATTACGTCTGAAATTAATCAAAGTAGCAATATGAAAAGGGAATCAAGAACATATTCAACATATACCACAGACTGCACTGAGATATGAAAATKTTTTACCCGTGTCAAAATAATCCAAACAGGAAAACATATATTCTGATTAGAACTACAACGGTTTTCAAGTAAAACGAATACAAATTACAATATAAGCCCCAATATCTCAGAGATCAAGAATCTCAACTACCGCAAGCCTTGTTCAGACGAATCAAAACTCAAACTTTCATGAGCAAACAAGAAAAAACAAGAACTTACAACCTACGAACAAAAACCAACTTTATACAGGAAAGAAGGGGAAGCACATCTTTGCATGCAACCACTGATCAAGCGCTACTTCTGTAAACGATCAACAGGCCACTGAGAATAGAAAAGATCCTAAAAGTTCTTCGTAGAAGAAGATTTATCTCAAAGTCAAAATGCATTATCTACCTCCTAATATAAACACGGACACAGACGAATACAAATTATAATAGATAAATAAATGAATAGAGGGATACATAAACCGAAACCCACCTAGAAAAACAAAAACTTTTACAGAAAAAATGACAGATTAAGTACTAAAAGTAAAGGATCAAGACCGTCTCTAAGAAATGCAGTTCCTCAATGGCTACTCAACAAACCCAGATGCCAAATTTAAGAAATAATTTATAAAATATATTATATCGAGTGAGATAAACAGTAAYCAAGGAAGTGGTAGAGAAACATCCAGATCATGATCGCAGACCCACATCTGTGATCAAACCCTACCACAGATCCAAAACCCCACAAAAACCCAGAAGCAAAAAATTAAAAATAAAATAAAACAGCAAAACAGGGGGGGGGCAAAGAGATCCATGCCCATCAAGAGAAACACAAGAGCACTTAAAAGTAACGATAAAAGAAGCCCGCAAAGAGTACCTGGTTTCAAAGATCAGAACTTTAGGGTTTGCTTTAGCAGAGAAAATAGCACCACTGCTATAGTGAGAGAAAGAGGGGAAATAGAAATACTTGCTCCTGTCTGTGGACAGAAAAAAGAAGAACAAGACGAGTGAAGCTAGAGATGGGAAAAAGCAAGGAAAGAAAGCTTTAGTAGTGTTAGAAAGCGTTGGATGTCCAGTCCAAGACTCCAAAGATTATTGTGCGTGTGAGGAGAGAGAGGAAGAGGAAGTGGAACCGGCTCCAGGAGGGGTCAAAGCTAAAGTTAAGCTTTTCTCATTCAATTATTTCATAGTTTTTTGTCCCCTATGAGCTCAGGGGTCCGAATCACCGGATGGGTCTCTCAACTGTACCTTTTACTTTAAACTTTGATCTATTTTCCTGTATCCATCCTCTCCTTCTCAATGACAACGATGCCCTTCTTCTTATATTTTTCAAATTTTTCTGGCAGAAGAAAATAAAACTAATCTATTTCTTGTTCTACGATTTGTCCAAATACGGACGACAAATAACAATCTATCTCCTGTGCATTAACTACACGTCGCCTTTAATGCTCCCTCTAAAGAATTTGACAAGGCTCTTAAGTCTTAATTACAGTTGTTCAGTGGTTTAACCAGAGCCAGAGATTTGGAGCAGCCAATAAAATAAAAAATCAAAACTCATGGATGATGCTCCACCGGAATGTAGATCTATGGACCAGTGGTCTAAATGGATAAAACTAAAAGCAGTCTAAAAAACTGAAAATATGTGGTGGTGGTCGACTGGTCGTGGGAGAGGCAAATACTCGATCGGTGGCCCGTTTGACCAATTGTAATGTGCATTGGAAGCGGATACGCGCCCATGTTTTTCTCGTATCAACTTTACACATTCGTCCAATCTTGAGTTGGTAGCTTATCAAGCCACATGGTGTTTTTGTGGGTGGGTCGACATTTTTCTCATCAGCTTCGTAGGTTGATTGTAATGTGGGTTGTCCATTTTAGACTTTTTTTTTCCTTCTATCAAGATCTTTTGCACCCCATATGTGGAATGGAGGTTAAAACTTCTTCCTCGTGTGATGGATGTTGTAAATTCTTATTCATGAGAAAGAGAGAGAGCTGTTGTTTGTGTTCATCATGGTTTTGAAAATTAGATTGAATCAGACGGTCAGATCGGTTGATCTAGAAATTGATTCTGTTTTACCCTAAAATCGTTGATTTGGTCAATGTCCGGGTGATTGAACTATCGGCCCATCGATCTAGACAACAGTTTTTGGATATTTTTTATTTTATTTTTAAATCAGAAAGGGTCATTCATTCAAACTGGATTGTCAGACCATTTGACTCAAGAACCGATAACTAAAACGGTTCCATTTTCGATCCTGTTTTTAAAACCTGCCATTAATATGAATAAAACACTAAAACAGAGCGACTGGTGTTTGTATACAAAACCAAATATGCTTTCTCATTTCCTTCTATTATTCCTTTCTTTTCTTTTCAAACTTTGGTAGTTCATATTTCCACCATTTCCGATTTTGGGTCTATTAGCCTCTTTGGAAGAAACATACCTATGTGGCTGTATATAATCCATGTAAGCAGCAATCTCTTTCTGCCTTGCTTTTTAGTAATTTACTGGTAAAGCATGAGCATTTGAAGAAGTGGAATGACTTCAGACCACAAATTCTAAAAACTAGTCCCCACTGATCAATTCCCCCGGTTTGCCTACTCTTTATAGCAGGGAGCCATGGATTGTATATTTGCCCCGGCCCCTCCTTTTCCCATACTTTTCTTCTTTCCCACTGATTGATCTTTTGTTCAACTTAAACAATCAATAGCATGGTCTAAGTTATGGAGCCATGGATTCCAAAGGTTGAAAAGAATGTTGTTGGTTAAATTAGGTGGTGTATGGCGTTTTGTTTCGTTTTTGTTTTGACTCCTTGTAAGCACCACATAATCAATTTTACTTTAGTTGGGCAGATTTAGCTTAAAATAGCTACATCATATTTTGTGTTGGGTTATATGAATGAGAGTATTGAGACAAACATCAAAAAGATATTTGTTGTAGTTTGGAGCATTCCCACTTCAATTATCCTATATGTAATGGCACCAACATGTTTGAAGCTATTATAAAGTATTGTTTTCGTGCCAAAAGCATCTCACTTTTCTGGTTTCTTATGTCATGATTTAAGTTTTGATTTTTGAAGGTGTGAGCTAGCTTGTTGGTAAGGTAAGGCCTTTGGCTAGTTGTAGCAAGTATAGTTTTCAAAACTGGACAGGACCAGACAGTCGGACTGGAAAAACAAGGAATCGGTTAGGTGATTGGTTCCGTTTTTCTAGAAAATTGAATTTTTTWAAAAACCGTTGATTTTGGTCAACAAACCGCTGACCCGGGTAGTTAACCATTCAAATGGTTTTGACTGTTTTTTATTTTTTAATTTTTTTTGTTAGAACAGACTAACCGTTTGATTCGAACGCTCAGACCATTCGACCTAGGAACTAGACCCTGACCAATTCGTTCTCCAGGTCAGTTTTCAAAACCTTGATAGCAAGGAGTCAGGTTCTTGGATTGTATCCCGCCCTCACCTAAGTTGAGAGCAGGTTAGGGGAGTATGTAGCCAAAAAAAGTTGTCATGATTTAAGTGTAAATATTGTCAATTAAATCACCACCATACCAAATACCCACTTAGAAAGTATTTCCATTACTAACTATGATATTAGCATAAGAATGATCATTTATGACCGGACCTGGCCCAATTTGCCTAACCCACAAATTTTTAAGCTCAAGAAGCCATTTTTATTCTAGGCACAACCTAGCCCGAACCCACCAGGCTTGGTCTAGAAATTATATACATATATGGTTAATATTTTATATGTGGTATTATCGATGTTTAGGAAATCAGACCGGCTGGTTGAACTGTAACCCAGGGCTTTGATTGGTTCGGTCATACCCCCAATAACCAGACTTGCTTAAAGCCCATTGATAATCGGCTGACTGGCCAGTTGGACCGAAAAACCGGTGAACCAGTCCCGGTTTCATGAAAACGCCCGGGTCCATATATAAGTGGAACTTTAAAACATTGTTAATAAGATTTGAATCCAAGACTTCTTATTTTCACAAAATACTTAATTACCATTGATCCACCTCTTTCCTTATGCTAATTAATGATTATTTATTATACATATTACATTATTATGCACGTATTTTAAAGAAAATGTAAGTCAAAAGACTTGAACCCTAGTCATTTGTTTTAAAAAATTAAGAAGCTTACCATCCATCTATCACATTTAAGTACATTAAAAGTTGTAAAGTATATTATATATAGTATTTATATGACCATAGTATATATATGTATATGCCACATCATCATGGTTCGACCTCCAGTTTGACCCTGGTCAAACTTTTCCCTTCTCCGATTCTATGCCTGGTTCGGTTCTCAGAACATTGGGTATTATAACTTTTAGGTAAATTATAGAGAACAACCCCTTTACCTTAGGAGTAGTGGCACTAAGGTCCATGGAGATCGGATTCAATCATCACAAGACCGTCCTCACATTGTCCTCATAGCCACTTGCAATTGTGTATTGGGAATATCTTCATGCTTGTATGTTTTTATCTATGGGGAGATATTCCTAATGCATAGCTACAAGTGGCTATGACTAAACCTGTTCACAGGCCAGGCTTTGAGCCCAACTTTATACTGTCTTGAGCTCAGGCCCATTTGAATTTTGACAAAAAGCCAAGCCCAAGCCCGGCCTATGAACAGGTCTAGCTGTGACTATGAGCATGGTATGAGCATAGCCTTGTGAGGAGCTATCTTGTGTTTTTTCATATTTCAACACTCTTTCTTGATGTTAGCATTTATCAGTTTTGAACTTTTATGGGACCATTTTTCCCTTTCCTTTATTTATTACATCTCAAAAATCCAGTGTTTTCAAAATTGGGCTGGACTGGAAAAACTAGGAATTGGTCATCTGATTGGTTTCGTTTTACCCCAAAAACGCTTTTTGGCCAAAACCGTTGATTTAGTCAACAAACCACTGACCCAGACAGTTGAACCGGACAATGGTTTTTAGCCATTTTTTGTTTTTTTTTTTTATTTTTTTGTCAAAGCGAGCCATCCGTTCAAAGTGTTCAACTTAGGAATCGGACCCCATAATGGTTCCCTGTCTGGTCCAATTTTAAAAACCTTGCAAAAGCCCAAATTTTGAACTTTTTCTATTTTTTTTTTCTTCTTTCCAAGACAAAGGAGAGCCGAAAGAGGTAGATCCGCTATTATTGGTTCTAACAACATGGAGAACTCATAACATTATTCCATGCACTTCCTCAGCAATGGATCTACAAACCTAAGTATTAAATACTGAGAGAGGGAGAGAATGGCATGAGTTCAAAACTTAGGTTTTGGAGATGCAATAAATGGAAAGGATAATAATCTAATGAATGTTCAAAACTGACAGAATGCCAACGATGAGAATACAATATTAGAATCTATAACTACATGATAGCTCTCTATCACAAATGAAAATGCAGGACTTAAGGGTGGGTCTCTGTATTTTACCCCATCTTTTACAATTTCAATTATAAAATCAAATTGAACTTGTAATTTTTAAAAACCATAATTTTATTAATTAATAAGGGTAAACAAGATGTCGAACCTGGCCGAAACCCGGACAGCCCTAAAAACTGTTAATACACTATCAAAACCCAGACATCCCTAAAAACTGTTAATACACTATCAAAACCCGGACAACCCTAAAAACTGTTAATACACTATCAAAACCCGGCCTGGCCCATGAACATCTATTGTATCAGTTTCTTGTGACCATTGTAGTGTTGTAAGAAACATATAACCTAGTTAAATTCTAGCATGTGTACATCATTTTACTTTTTTTTTTTTGGAGTGAGAGGGAGAACTTTTACCCTCATGTTTCATGAGTGCTTTTAAGTCAATATAAGCATCCTCCTCCCAACCACTCTAAACTTTGCCACCACACAAAACCTAAACATCATTATTGCTGCCATCATTATTATTAGGGCAAATTACACCCACACCTATTATGTTTTGGAAAAGGTTCACTGAACCTCCCCGTATTTCAAAGTTGTTTATAGTCTTATCAGGAAGTTGGTGAGCTTTTCCAAACAGGGGAATTGGTGTAATTTGCTCTTGTTGTTATTGTTGAAGTAGTAATTGTCAAAGTTTCCTACTCTGATCATCACCCTCATCTAATTCACAGATCACGCCCATCTTTTAGCCATATGGAAATATGAAGCATAATTGAAAACTTACATTGATAAAG